TTTACACATCTTCTTATAAACACTGAAAAGTGTTTATACATGTACGATTGACTAAATGCAAAATAAACAATCCAGAAATACTATTAAAAGTAAAAGTAAGAAAGTTTCACTCACTGTTAAGTTGGGATGAGGGGCTGCCATCTTGAATTCTGAACCCTCTCACAACCAGACAGGGAACTCCTAATGGTGGGGTGTTCTAGTTTAAATATACGGGTTTTTAGTCGGAACTTCTCACTCAGTACAACTGGACTGCAAACAAAAATGAAGCAAAATGTAGATCTTACATGGCAAATTGCATTGTTTACTTTCAAACCCTGTGCACCTCCACCTTGTGTTGGGATGCCATCATGTTTTGGGTAAAATAATCTTCTTCTTCTTGTGGTGTTTAATGGTGGTTGGCAATAAACTGAAGGTGTGCATTATCGCCACCTACTGGTATGGAGTGTGGTTCAAGAAGATTTCACAAATATTATTTAAATACTACTACTATTATTGTATTTCTTTTTACATTTTCAAAGCTATCTATTCAAAGAAAATAAATAAATAAATAAATAAATAAATAAACAAATAAATAAATACAAAAAACTACTATCAAACTCAAATTCTGCTAAACAATTTTGTCTTTTTCAAAAATCGTATCATGATTTGTATATGTTTGTTCCCTAAATTCCTTTGTAATGTGTCTATTATGTCAAACCTTTCCTTAATGTTTTTGAACTGTCGTATCATAAATTGTCTCTCTTGTTTATACTTCTGACATTCTTTTATAACATGTCCTATGGTTTCATTTTGTCCAAAATAATCATGTTTGGGTAAAATAATCAGCATGCATTATGGGAGATGTAGTTTATGGTGAATGCTGGCTTTAAAGCAGCATTTGCTTATTTATTTTTAAAGCTCTTGCAGGCCACATAAAATGCTGTGGCGGGCCACATTTGGCACACGGGCCTTGAGTTTGACATGTGTGATGCAATGATTAAATGAACTCTGAAAACATTTCTGAAAAGTGCAAAACGTGGGCCAAGTTGGTCCTTAGAAAACAATCTTGCTAAGGTTGTGGTTTAAAATGACACAGCTGTCGCAGCCTTGGGTAACTTGAGGTGAAAAGATATTTCAAATAATCCAAGTTTTTATAAGGACCCAAACTAGATTTTTCCAATGAAGCCACACACAGTGACACTAAAATCACAAATAGAGATAAACTGCTCCACCTCTAAAAAATTCCCCTCCACATGTCATTTATTAGACGCAGCAGACGAGTCATTACACGTGAATTCACACTGAACTGATTAGAAATCTGAGACTGCTGGGAAACCAGAGTATTTAATCAATATTTAACAAAGGGTTGTGTTTTATAAAATAGGACCAGTGATGCTGATATTTAACTCATCTTTGTTTATCGTTAGCTAACCAGACAGTGCCCTTCACAATAAGAGCAGTGAGATCTGAAGGTGGGACCGTGGTGCCCAGACTGATAACTGACTCCCAGCAGCAACAGTTACATTTTTCCAGGGAAAGCTGCTCTGTGGTGGCCATCCGTGTGGAGAAAGCAGAGAACAGGCATGGGAACTCTGGTATGTGAGGAATGCAGCCAAGGCAAACAGAAAGTCCCACACTCCTGTGTCTAATGAAATCAATGCCTCCAGCTTTTCCGGTGCAAGGGGCAAATCAGAGAGAGGGACTTAGTCAGCACAGGAGGCTGACTGTGGGAGATTTCATTCTTGAGGTAAACATCACGTCTGAATTTGAGCTATAAGAGATGATTTCTGCAGGCTGATATAGGAGCTGATGAGGGGAAACATGAGGAATGAAGCATAAATTTGATATAAATCCGTACAATGAACATCAATGATACACAGTCAAGTGAAAAAATGTGTATGCCTTCAACAAAAACACTAATATAGTTCCTCAAATTTGTAAAATAATTATGATAAATATTTAAAGATTCACACTCAGCTAAAGAGCAACTAAAACCAGAAACACAAACAATTTAATTTCATCTTATTTTTTTAAATAATGTCATTTTCTTTGTCCTGATGCATCTCAGTAATCCAGGTAAAAAAATCAAAAAGAAAAAAATTGTGTAGGTCTTCTGGACGGGTTCTTCTCTAATGAAACGTTTCGTCTCTCCTCCAAGAGACTTCTTCAGTCTGAGAACTCTGCAGTTTTCACTCATTTACAGGCCAGCGGTCACTCTTTCAGAGATGAGGATGTTCTCATTCTTGATAGGGAGGAACGTTGGTTTGAGAGAGGAGTAAAATAAGCCATTTTTGTGAAGAAAGACCGTCCATCATTAAACAGAGGTGGAGGCCTCCGTTTTCAGTTGTCCCCCTCCTACAGCGCGGCCATTGCCAGTATCACTCCACCCCCTGTTAACAATAGGTGTTAATTAGGTGTCAACGATAGCCATGTGATGTGAGTATCAGTCACCTGGAGGCAGGGCTTAAAAGCCTGAATTTAGCCTGAAACTCTCAGACTGAAGAAGTCTCTTGGAGGAGAGACGAAACGTTTCATTAGAGAAGAACCCGTCCAGAAGACCTATACAATTTTTTTCTTTTTGGTCATTTTCTTTATTTTTTTAACTTTTTTTTGACAGCCGTGTTCTTATTTTTAACATTTACATGAGCTATTTGGAGATTACTGATCATTAAACTAGTGCTATTTAACATAAAAAATATAAAGATTCTACAGAAAAGGTCTTCTGCATTTTAAAAAATATAGTTTGAGGCAGGATAAACGGAGACAGGCTGACATACGTACAAAAAACATTCAAGGATGCGGTTGTTTAATTTACAAAATGCTTAGTCACATTATTTCATTCCAATGAAATAGCTAGTGGTTGTTTGCTAATGCAGGGTTGGCTGCGGACTTCCTGCAGATCATTTGGCTAATCATAGGCTATTGTTTGGAAATTACATGTGGCATTGTGAGACATGGCACAGCCTGGTAGGTCATAATAATTAAAAACCATAGGTTTACCCCAAGTCTGGGTGGAATAGGCCCTAACTGTAATAGCTACATTTACTTTAGTATATTTTATTGAATTAGCTCTCCACTGTCTTTGAAAACAAGCAAGAACAACAGTAAACCAAGTGACTATTGACATGGAACCAAAACTATTCCAGATCAGCCAGTTTGGCAGGATTGGTCCTTCAAGGTTATGGCAAAATTGAGATTAATTGCTGAATGTGATACAACACCAGTCCAGTCCACTAGTCCATGCCTCACAGCTACAAGGTGGCTGTGGTGAAGTGGTTAGGAGAGTTTTCCCATAAACGGAGGGTTGCCGATTCAATCCCCAGTTCCAGCTGTTTCAGTTGTTGTGTGAATGACTGTAGTGTAACATGCTTTAAGTTCAGTCTGTTTACCATTTTACAGCACTGACCCAAACATTGGCATGAATGACAGCCCATGGATGGTCAGATGGCAGTCATAAAGATATGTGATGATACAGGGCGATATTAAGAGTCTAACACTGTGAGCAGATGTTCTAACAGGGACAGACGTCATGGGGTTCTTTGATAGTTGGGTGAACTTCACACACCACTTTGTTCCAACATAAAACCACTTTGACATCATCTGTGTTTGGTTAGGCATTCTGGCAACTGCCTGATAACACTATAACACCACTTTTGATGCCACCTTCTTTAATATTGTTTATAAAGGTTGGTTTCACATGAATATACTGGACATGGAACTACAGTTTATTGTAAACTGCACCTCTAGTGAGTACACATTAACCATTGCAATAGGCAACATTACTAGTAGCTTTTATATACTCGTTGTGGAAATATTACCTGTGTTGTTTTGGTTCTTTATTTGAAACACATACTATTTTAGGGCCTGTCTGTCTGGTTGTGCACAACAAGATTACTCAGTTATGAATGGAATTTCATGAGATTTTCAGTAAACATTAAGATTGTCACAAAGAGCAAATACTTACATTTTGGTGGTGATGTGTGACTGAGTGACTCTAAGGTCTTGGTGGAGGTATTTGCTCTCTGGGTTGCTCTAGTTGCTTAAATGTTTTCAAAAAGCCTAACTCTTTGCCTACTAAAAGTGATTAACAAGCTTTTTTTTGACCCATTTTTTTATTTTTATCTTTTTTTAAATAACTTGCTGTATATCAATATGTCATATTTTTATGCCTAAAATCTATAATCTCCTGTATATTTACAAAAACTAATTCCTATTCATACAGCAATATACCTCAAGTAGGGTGAACTCTTCTAGTGAATTTAGAGAAAATCTTCATTTGTCAGTCAAAAATTTGTGTTAAATATTGTGATCTGTTTTAAGTCTGTTTTATAAATTATCTTAATATTGTAATGTTTTATTCTATTTTGAATAATTTCATTGTTATGTTGCTAAAAGCCCATCTGAGACTGGCATTGCAAATTAGCCTAGTACTGTATTTTAAATAAACAACACTTGTCCCTACTCAACTAAACGATAAATTAAGTTAACTTGAAGTTTCATAGAGAATGTAGAGAGTGAGTTAAAAAAATCATTAGCTCAACAATACATCTGATACTGAAAGATGGGAAGCTGAGCACATTATAATAATTTTTACTGGAAGCCTGCTTATGGTTGTTAAAAATACATAGACAGCCCAACTACTTTAATTATTATTGTCACACTTCTGCAGTAATATTACTTATTGCAGATATTTGGACTGGTAAACTGCAAAAGGTATTTCCTGTGGTCATTTTAGATATAAATTAAAATAAATTTGCCCCACTGAGGGTCCTTGAGTGAGAATCTTTACCCTAGCTGCTCCCTGGGAGAAGAAAAATAGCCAGAGAATGAATGTCTCCATAAAAACACGTAAATAAAAACAATCTTGTTGTCTGTAAACAACTTCATTGGCAAACATTTGAAACCACTGAAAACGTGACTTTTCCCGGTCACATCATCACATTTTACGCACTCACTCACACAAGCTCCGCCCTTGATGTGACGTCACCGCCCGTCTTCCCCTCTCTGGATTTTTTCTTTTTTTTTTTACTCCGGCGCTCTCCGGTCACCTCGCCTCACGCTGTGTCCGCTCCTCCTCGAACCTGCTTCGTACATTCCTGAGGACAATTATCTGATCTGCCCATGAGCCTTTCATTCCTACAGAGCAGAAGAAACCTTTGGAGTTCACCTGGACACTCTCGCTGCTCCTTTATTTAACTTTTTGCTGGACTTAAACTATATATATTTTTTTACATTCCGAAGATTTCTGTCAAGGACGTACGTCGAGTCTTGTTTTTAAAATTCCGCTGTAAATCAGTCTTTTTCCTCTGAATTAAATTATAACACTGAGTTTACCAAGCGAGTAGGAAGCAGTAGTTTGCACAGTCTAGTCTTAAGTGTGTTTTTTGTTTTTCTAGTATTAAGTAGCTAAACGGTGAACAATGGCAGGTGTAAACTCTCTGGATGCTGTGAAGAGAAAGATTCAAAGTTTGCAGCAGCAGGCCGACGACGCAGAGGACCGGGCTCAGGTCCTACAGAGAGAACTGGACAGTGAACGGGAGCTCCGTGAAAAAGTGAGAAACTCCTCCTTTTTTTTTTTTTTTTTAGTTTTCTGTCTTTTCAGCGCCGTTCACTCGCTTTCAACACAATGTGGTTGTGCTTTTCATGTGTCCTCCCTGCTTTACTGGTTGCTAAAGCCTTGGAGTTCACCTCCTAGGCTGTAAAACGCCTCATTAGCTCATGTCATTGATTCATTCGCGGGCGTGATTGTGCCACAATGCAAGGCGTTGGTCTCCAAGAGGGGAAAGAAAGAAAAAAAAAAAAGTTAGGATTCCTTCATGTTGTGCGCATGCGCAGTGCTGTTTCCCTTACAGGCCGCTTGAAAACTGAAGACCACGTAGACAGCACTTTCTAAAGTTAAATTCATCATTTAAGCTCACCAAATCAGCAACGTTTGAGGCGAATTGAGTTAATATTAGCGCTGTAGTGACTATAGCAGCTTATTAATTAAAGTGAGGCAAGTTTGAGGAATAACCTTTTTGAGAAAATGTGACTTTCTTGCTGTGAAATCAGTAGAGAGGATATTTTCACCATCAGCTGATTGAAGAGCTAAACATCCCCACAAATAGTATAAACTACAGCTTTAAAATAGGCTTTCCTATGTTTATAGGAATTTATATAGGCAATTTGAGCATGTTCACTCAGGAATTGGTCATTCTTTCTAGCTTTCCTCATCTTGATCTGGTTATTAAATGACATTTGAATCCTAAAGCTGCCCTGTCACACTACACAACTTATGAAACATTTTTTATGTCTAAATTGCAAATAAGTTATCTGTTGGATCAGTTATTTCAAATTACATTATGTACACGCTGAAAAGAAGTTTCCTGTTGATGTTTTCAATTCCATCTTCAACGTATGTTTTTAAAATGTTCATAAGTTGTCTAGTGTGACAGGGCCTTAAGGTTTGTTTTGTAGGAGCACTAGCAGTACAAATGAAAAATAGTAACACCCATATCTTTCACCACTTTCTTGTTTACATTTCAACACTGTACGTCAGCTGTTGTTGTGTAACTTGGGCTGAAAGTGACACACTGTCATGATTTCAGGCCCAGTTTCTCCAATTTGTGTCTCCTGCCCTTCCTTTCGACTTACCCTTCTGACTTTATCGCGGCTTTTATGATTTAACACATAACAGCCAGACGCTGCAGGTGAAAGGAGCACAGTTGGGCGACATTCTTGTCTTGCTTTATGGTGCCATACTCTTTGCGTAGGATCTTGGTAAAATTACAGGACAAGTGTGAAGATTAAAGGAGAGTGGAAGGGGAAGGCGTGGCTGGAAAGATGTGCCTTCTAAAGTCGGACTTGCCCCTTTTTGTTACACCGCCTGTGTGGTACCGGCACACCTTTTTAATTTGATAACTGGGCGTGTAAATAATCCCGGTACAGACACAACTACAGCTTGTTTTGTCAACAGTGTTTTTTTCCGGTTGTTGCTAAATGGCTGTGAATTTTGGATATGGTTTACAAGTTCATTTTGTTCTAGGCGATTGTGTTTATGTCCAAGCTACTAAGCTTTAAATAAAAAAGCATTCATGTGGCTATGGTTAATGATTTAAGATACAAGGTTATAAACATCTTACGTTTGTTAACTTATCACCGTGTTTATCTGTGAAGGACTTGCAACTGGAACAAAATCCCTGACTTAAAAGTTTTTTTGTAGAGAATCAGTTGAAGACAGCACATTTCTCCTCTGCGTGCTTCTGTTCGGGTTGGACTGGTCCCACATGTGAATAATTAGGACAGCTCGGAGCCATTCCTATGCACAAAAACACTCTCGGCACAGAGAGATCAAAACAGGAACCTTGCTGAGTCCAGTGAATGTTAATGTGGAGGCATTAGGAGGATGCTGGCCACATCTGTCGCTAAAAAGCAAAAGTAATTGCTTCACAGGATTTCTTGTGTGGTTTCGATGTTGCCCTTTAACACAGAGATCACAGAGACATGATATATGTCTTCATTTGACGTCTTTATTTCGCAGCCATTCTTCTCAATGAGTTGTTTCGGTTTGCACTGCAGTCAGGGCAAAGATGATCATTTGTGCTCTCTCTGAGCCTGGTTGAACCAGATCTGCTGCTTTTTATAATGTGAAACTTACACTTGATGCTTTTAAGTGGTCAAGCGTTGCAATGAAAGACCCCAGAGAAGCTAAGAACTATAAAAATATAGGTCCTCTTGAAGTTAAGTTTCATCTACTTTGCTCAGTGTTTCTTTTTCTTTTTGTTACCATGGGGACTGTTTGTTTGTAGCCACACGTCCTATTGGTGTGCGGTTTGTGACGTTCACATCTATTTGTAAGATCTTGGATTTTTTTTAAAGGAAGGTGCTCTGCTCCCCATCCTGACGGCCCCTCCCAAGGATGTCGTCCGGCCACTCTGGTCCAGCACTTCCTGTGCTCCTACTCTGAGCACTTCCTGTCCCTGGGCTCCAACCCTGATCAACAGGAAGATTAGTGTGTGGTGGATTTAGCTAATGTCCATTCCAGATGTGTGTGTGTGTGTGTGTGTGTGTGTGTGTGTGTGTGTGTGTGTGTGTGTGTGTGTG